AATATTAAACAGGAACAGTGATTCTATCATATTACCATAGCTGCAGTATAGAGAACTGATTACTGGGGAGAAAGAATATCAGAGGTCAGTTAAGAAGTTTTGCTAGAGTATAGGTTGAGATATGATAGTGACTTGTACTAAGATAGTAGTAGTAATTCTAGAACTATTTAGGAGGTAACTAAAGAACCTTATGACTGCATGTAGAACACGAATTAGAGGAAAAGAAATGATGATGGCCAAGGTTTCTGGCCTTACAGCTAGCAATGCCATTTGCAGAGATAGAACACTAGAGAATGGCCTAGGTTTAGTGGGGGTGATTATGACATGTTGACTTTTGAAAGGCTTGTGAGATGTTCAAGTGGAAATTTCAAGTGGGCAGTTGTGTTAAGATGGTATAGAACTCAGAGAAGATGCCTCTAACAGCGTTGTATCTAATGGTGCTATTTGTGCACAGCTTACATCACATTCAGTGAAACTTCTGGGTCAACTTTTTACCAGTTATTTATGTTTCCATTTTAAAAGCTATTGATTAAATTTGTATATTAATCTCTATATACAACTATTCCCTGGCTCCTCCTGTCCTAGAGAAAACCTTGGCCTCATGTCACATATACAAGCAAAGGTTAAGTTTCAGAACTCAGCTCTTATAATCCTTTTTTTTTTTTTTTTTTTTTTGCAGCTGGCTGATATGGGGATCCAAACCCATGACCATGGTGTTATAAGGCTGTGCTCTAACCAACTGAGCTAACCAGCTAGCCCAGCTCTTAGAATTCTAATCCTTTAGTTTTTATAAGTTTTGGTGTTGGTGATAGTTTGTCTTAAATATTTTGATTACTTGTAACTTGTTTTCCAGTTCCACTGAGCTCTAAGTTCATTAGTTATTTTTATCTTCATGCCATTTCTACTCTAGTTCTAGCCAGTCCCCATGCTTGTGCAGACCAGAATGGCTGAAGCACTGGTCCCCTTTGTAATTTCTCAGCCCTCCCTGATGAACTTTCACTATTTTAGAATACTAAATATGGGTTCTTGATTACAGTCTTGCATTTGCTCATCCTCTCCACGATGGATTTAGAGGGCAGGTGGACTCAGAGCTTCTGGAGCCCTGGTCCTCAACAGTCTGCCTTTGGGAAACTTTTAGGATATTGCCCCCACCCCCTTCCATTTTTTCCCCCTTGTAAGCTTAGAAAAGCTTAGGAGAGAGGCAGTACTTTATCTGCATTAGTTACCAAAGTCGAATTGGCTGCTTTAGGTTTCTGACTCTTACTGAACTAAATGGTGCTGCTTCTGTAGCCATATTTACTAATGCATTTGGTAGCTTTGAAAATATCGGTGACCTTAAATGCTGGGGCTCCAAGCCCTGAACAGCCAGTTTGTCCATCTCGTATAACTTCGTATAATGTATGCTATACGAAGTTATTACGCCTAGCGGTTCAAAGACCCCCACCATGTTCCAACATTACTCCTTCTCAGTCAAAAAATATTGTTTCCTGAGGAAAGGAAAGAGAAATGAAATTTGAATATTGTTTTGTATTCAGAATTGCATTGGATTACTTTAAACTCTCATAAACAGCTCTTAGATATGGAAAATGAAGTTTAGAGAGGTGAACGTCTTCTCTAATCAAAAACATAAATGAGCAGGGTAAATTTTTGAGGAGAGACGTATATTTGTCACTTTTGTTATGGTATTAGAAGGATCCCAGAGGAGTGTGCTACTTATATACCGATTTTTTTTTGAGTTGGTAATTTTATATTTATTATGTTTCAGTTTCTAGAGGTAATATTTATATAAATTAAAATTGAGAAATTAATGAAATTCTAGTAGAGGAACTTCATTGTAACATTTTACCTTATATCCACATACATGTATTATAATTCAAGAATTTAGCATAAAATGAGCACTTAAAGAAATTCTGGGCTTCCAAGGAAAATGTTCAGGAAGCTTTTAGATTGTTTATTTTTAATAGCAAATTAATAAGATCAATAGAGGATCTCTGCCTTATCTCTACTCTTAATAAGATATGGATTATTTGGACAGTATTTTCCTTTATACTCGCTTCTAGCCACATGTGGTTTTGAGCACTTGAAATGTGGCTGTTAGAACTGAGATATGCTGTAAATGTAAAATATGAATACACACTGAGTTTTGAAGATTTAGTACCAAAAAAAAGAAGTGAAAGAAATTCACTAATAATTGTTAAATATCGACTACATGTTGAAATGATGATATTTTGAATCTGTTGGGTTAAGTTAAATATTAAAGTTAATTTCACTCTTTTATCTTTTACTTTTTTGATATGACTGCTGTTGGCTTATTACTTTATTTCTATTGGACAGTGCTGCTCTAAGGACAACAACAATGTTGCAGTTGGTAAAGGCTTTATTCTGACCTCTAACACCACTATTAGAACAGAGACTATTAACTTTAAGCACGTGGTTAACTCTTAAAGATATAGAGGACTTAGCTTGAAGAACTGATAAAAATTAGAGCATTTAGATGTCTTTTGACTATACTCAGTAAATAACAAAGCTTTAAAAAGGTAGGCTTCTTAAAATCTTTGGGCCTCAGAGCTTACCTGGTTGGGGCAATATACTACAGCTATCTCGAGAGTTTTCAGAATTTCTCACATGCAAAGTTTGCTACTAAACCTAGACAAAATAAAATAAATAAATGTGGAAAGTTAGGGAGATTTTCTTTTTCCTCTGACCCAGATTTGTCTTTTTTACGTACCAGTGTTTCACTTTTTCTGTGAAGTTTCTTTCAGTTTTTATTGAACTCATATAAATCATGATGATTGAGATTTTGTTATTGGGTTGAATTCATTGCGCTTGGCTTTTTTTTCTTTTTCTTTTTTTTTTTTTTTTTTTTTTTTTTTTAAATCTTTAACTTTTATTCTGAAATAATTTCCAACCTACAGAAAAAGTTACAAGAATAGTGCAAAGAACTTGGCTTCTCTTTTTCGTAGGATAAGATCTCTTCCAGAAGACTCCTCCACCCTGTTCTGGTAGAGTATTATCATTACCTTGAAGTTCACTTCATATGCCTAGCAGTGGAGAAAGCTTAAATTCAAACTGTGATTCTGTACTGTGAAAATTCCAGCAGTTTTCTGTATCGTTGAAAACTCTCAGCAAACTAAATGTTTTAAGAATTTATAATTTATTGCATGGATGTATTCTGTATTGGTTGGGTTCAGAGGCACTATTCCAAAGTGGTTAAGAGCATGGGCTTTGGAGATAGACCGAGCATAATCTTTACTGTAATCTAATTTGCCAAAGTCACTTTGGGCAACTGGTTGAATCTCCATTTTCTCATCTATAGAATATGGATGTAACCCTGCCATTATGAGGGATAGAAGGGGAGATAGATACAGTCTTTTAGCCAGAAAGAGCCCAATCTTATTAATTGAAGTCTCTTATAAAGAGTCTGAGGATTGTGCAGAACTGTTTTTACTGTTCAATTGGGTTGCTTTAAAATAGGTAGCCTATCTTGGATGAGTACTTGAAAGGTTCTTCTCTCTTAAGTCATCTGATCTCATTTTCTACATCTCTGTACCACCCCTCCAACTGGACCCACCTCTCCCCCACACCCTGGCTGCATTCTGCTATACTGCTGCTGTCTTTGTATTCAAATCTTGGTGCACCAGTTTCTGGGAAGAGCCCTGGCAAGATAAACAGCTGACTCTTGGTGTCATTGGTCTTCTTTCATAGCGTAACTTCATTGTGTTATTATAAATAAAATCAATGTGAGGATGGGAAGAAATAGTGTACGTAAGTGAATACAACAGGGAACCCTTAGCCCCAGGGATGATGCCTCCGTATCTCCAGGGATTATTGTGAGAACTAAATGAGAACTGTTGTAATTATTTTAAATTTTTCACTGCTATAATGCTTTGTGAACATTTGTATAAAATGTTATCCCCTTTCAGATTATTTCCTGAGCACTTTATATGTAATCTTTTATCAATATTTGATAATATTTTGAGGAGAACCTTTATCCTACAAAATCTTATGGGTTTTATTAAAATATTTAAGCTTGTAGGTGCTCATAGAAACAAATCATATGCTTCTGGGAGAATTAAAAGGTAAAAGTACTTGCATTTGATTTTTACTGAGAATATAAGTACCTTGTTTGGTTTTTGCTATTGCTATGCGTGAAGAGTTTGACAACTAGACCTGTGCTGTCTAAAAGGACATCACTGGTTATGTGTGGCTATGTAAAGTGAAATTAATTAAAGTTGAAAAAAAAATAAATTTAGTTCCTCAGTTGTGCTAGCCACATTTCAAGACCTCATTAACTTTAATGTGGCTAGTGGCTACCATATTGGACAGCACATATATAACATTTCCATCATAACAGAAAATTTTAGTTGAACAGCACTGAACTAGAGAGTATGAGAAAATTAAATAACCACATGTTCTATTTAAATAGGAAACATATCAAAGTCTGGGATATTTGCTACTAAAATTGTTTACCTTATTTATTATAGTTCTATATAGTATCTATAAGTATTGCAGTAAATGTTGTCATTCTAGGTACAAATTTCTTATCTAGTTTCATATTCCTAAAATATGTTTTTCATTTTTATAAATAAATAAAATGTTGATGAATTTCAGTGTCTCCTTGCTTTTATCCCTTATATCCTGATGTTGTACTAGAAGTTTCCATTTGTTTTTGCAACATTTAAGGATTTGGCTCTATTCCATTGCCATGGTCTTATGACCTAAAAAAATACTGTTGATGTTAAATAAGACTAATCATTTTCCATCTGAAAGGTATTATGTCGATTAAGTTGTATACAAAGAATAGAAGGGTTTAAAACAGTACAAATACATACCCCATCTCTTGTAATTATGAGCCTTTGGAAATTTTGAACAATGAGAAGCTTTATGTTGCTCTTATTTATCATACAGTATACTGTGGCATAAAATTTGCTTAGAGAATGATGGTTATGAGGTTTATAATTATCTTTCATTAAAATATAATTTAATTTTTTTAATTCTAGGAAGCTCTGCAAAGGATCATTTCAACACTGGCAAATAAAAATGATGAAATTCAGAACTTTATAGATACATTAAATCATACACTAAAAGGAGTTCAGGTATGAATCTTTTTTATTAAAAAATTTGTGTAAATATATCACAGTGAATGATTGTTGAGTCATATTTGAAGTATTAATATACTCCGTCAACTCTAAGTTGTATACTAATGGAGGTGAGAGCAGGATTTTTAAATGGCTGATAGAGTAAAAATGCCTTCCTTGCTGTTCTTGCATTCTCCATGGAAAAATCAAATAGCAAGGGAGAAGGAAAACTGGAGTAGTAGTTACTAGTGAATATTATAGTGCTCACTTTTGTCTTTTTCCATTTGATGTTTTTCTTTTCTAGTTCTAATTAGAGCAAGTTGTACCTTTTCAAAAGTACTTTTACAGTAAATAGTGGAATGAAAATGTAGATGGTAAGAGGTTTACTAGTAGAAGTAGATGAAAGGAAAACATGAAAGTAAAAGGTAAAGTGCCCAGTGAGGAGGGAGAGAAATACTTAAGGAAATGGTCTCAGGAGAATCCATGCTGTAAGTAATCAAACGTTGTTTGTGGTAGGGAACTAGAGATAATCTGATGATTCCTAGAAACATGCTGCCCACTAGGACTGAATCTAGAAGAAATAGAAAATCTGAAGAAATCAATAATGAGTAAAGAGACTGAATCAGTAATAAAGTCTCCAATCAAAGAAAAACTCAGAACATTATGGCTTCACTGCTGAATTCTACCCAACATTTAAAGAACTAATATCAATCCTTCTCAGACTCTTCCAAGAAACTGAAGAGAAGAGAGTACTTCAAACTCATTTTTACAAGGCCATCATTACCTTGATACCAATGGCATACAAGGACACTACGAGATAAGAAAACTACCGTCCATTATTCCTGATGAACATAGATGCAAAAATCCTTAATAAAATACCAGCAAACCAAATTCAGTGGTACATTAAAAAGATCATTCATTATGACCAAGTGTGATTTAGCCTGGGAAGGATGGTTCAACATACATAAATCAATAAATTTGATACACTGTATTAACAAAATGAAAGACAAAAACCACATGATTATCTCAGTAGATGTAGAAAAAAATTGACAAAATTCAACATTTTTTTGTGATTAAAAACTCTCAACAAATTAGGTATAGAAGGAATGTACCTGAACACAGTAAAGGCCATATATGACCAGCCCACTGGTAACATCATACTCAGTGAAGAAAAGTTGAAAGCTTTCTCTCTCAGATCAGGAACAAGACAAGGATGCTTACTCTTACTACTTCTATTCAACATAGTACTGGAAGTCCTAGACAGACCAATTAATTAGGCAAGAAAAAATAAAAGGCATCCAAATAGGAAAGGAAGGATGAAGTTGTCTGTTTGCTGATGACTGGTCTTGTATAGTCATGTGTCAGTTAAAGGCAAGGATACGTTCTCAGAAATGCGTGATTAGGTGATTTCATCATTGTGTGAACATTATACAGCATACTTACACAAACCTAGATGGTATATAACCTGTTGCTCCTAGTCTGTAAACCTGTACAGCATGTTACTGTCCTGAATAGTGTAGGCAGTTGTAACATAATGGATAGAATTTGTGTATCTCAACATAGAAAAGATACAACAAAAATACAGTATAAAAGATAAAAATGGTACACCTGTATAGGGCACTTACCATAAATGGAGCTTGCATGACTGGAAGTTTCTCTGAGTAAGACAGTTAGTGAATAATGACTGAATGTGAAGGCCTAGGACAATATTGAACACTATTGTCGACTTTATAAACCTTGTACACTTAGTCTACTCTTTAAAAAAAAAAGTGATTATGTTATGACATTCTGATGGCTACAGTGTCACTAGGTGATGTAGGAATTTTTCAGCTTCATTATAATTTATGGAAACACCATAGTATATGCAATTTGTCATTGACTGAAATGTAGTTATGCAGTGTATGAATGTATATAGGAAACTCCGAAGACTCTACCAAAACTATTAGAACTGATAAATGAATTCATTAAAGCTGCAGGATATAAAACCAACACACAAAAGTCAGTAGCACTTCTACACACTAACAATGAACTATCTAAAAAAGAAATTAAGAAAACAATCCCACTTTCTATAGCATCCAAAAAAAAAATTAGGAGTAAATTTTTTTATTTTTATTTATTTATTTATTTTTGCTGCTGACTGGTACAGGGATCTGAACCTGAGACCTTGGGGCTATAAAACTCTGCTCTAGCCTACTGAGCTAATCAGCCAGTCTTATTAAGAGTAGATTTAACTAAGGAAGTGAAAGATCTATGGATATGTAAAGAAAACTATAAAACATTGATGAAAAGTTGAAGTCATAAATAAATGGAAAGATATCCCATTTTCATGGATTGGAAGGCTTAATACTGTTAAAATCTTTATACTAAAAACAATCTACAGATTGAATGCAATCCCTATAAAATTCTAATGTCATTTTTCACAAAAATAGAAAATCCTAAGATCTGTATGGAATTGCAGAAGACCCCAAATAGCCAAACCAATCTTGAGCAAAAAGAACAGCTGGAGGTATCATACTCCTTGATTTCAAAATATCTTATAAAACTATTGTAATCAAAACAGCATGGTACTGGCCTAAAAACAAACACATCAACTGGTGGAACAGGACAGAAAGCCCAGAAATAAACTCATACATTTAAGGCCAATTGATTTTTGACAAAGGTACAAGGACACTGTGGGGAGAGGATTGTCTCTTCAATAAATGGTATTGTGAGAACTAGATATCCACGTGTAGAATCATGATATCACCTCACACCTGTTAGAATGGCTACTATCAAGGACTGAAGATAACAAGTTTTGGTGAGGATGTGGAGAAAAGGGAACCCTGGTACACTGTTGGTGGAAATGTAAATTAGTACAAACATTTTGGGTAACATTATGGATGTTCTTCAAAAAACTAAAAATAGAATTACCATATGATCTTGCAATTCTACTTCTAGGTATATATATCCAGAGGGATTGACATTAGTATGTTAAAGAGATATCTCCACTACCATGTTCATTGCTGCATTATTCACAATAGCTAAGATATGGAAGCAGCCTAAGTGCCCATCAGTGGATGAATTGATAAAATTTGGTATATATACACAATAGAATACAGACTTTAAAAAGAAAGGAATTCTGTCATTCTCGACAAAGTGATTGAACCTGGAAGACATTATGCTAAGTGAAAGAAGCCAGGCTTAGAAAAACAGATATTACATGATCTCATTTGTGTGTGGAATCTAGAAAAGTTGAACTCACAGAAGCAGAGAGTTGAATGGAGGTTACCAGAGGCTGGGGGGTGGGGGTAAGGACATATGGGGAAAGGGATTATGTTGGTTAAAGGATACAAAGTTTCGGTTAGGAGGAATATGTTCTAGAGATCTGTTGTATAGTGACCATTGTTAATGATAATGTATATTTCAAAATTGCTAAAACAGATTTTAAACGTTTTCACCACAAAAAAAGATAGGTAGGTGAGGTGATAGATATGTTAATTAGCTTGATTTAATCTTTCTATAGTGTGTACATATATCAAAATATCATATTGTATCCCATAAATACATGCAGTTTTTATTTGTCAGTTAAAAATAAAATAAGTTTTTAAAAAACATAATCTGGTGATGCTTTTCCATGAATGTGCCTCAGTGAATATAGGGTCATTTCTTTGTGTAACAAGCATGGAAGATTTGTAGACAATAAATCCTTTTTTTATGTAATAAGAAAGGTTATTTGTTTGTTTTAACCTAGGTAATTGCTTGTTTCTTGGCCTGTTAAATAATAGTCTCATAGTCTTTATATTTCTTTATTTCCGAATTTGCTGTAATTGAAGTTAGTTGATTATGATCCTCATCATTTTAACCATCTTTCTTGAATTGTTTTATTGGAAAATTTGGTGAATCGACTTCCTTTAAATAAGCAAAAATAGTGATTCTAAAACTCTTCATCTGTGGACAGCAAAATCATCACATTTGACATCTGGAAAAAAAGACTTTAAGATAGAGCCAGATCAAACTATTCTTCCGATTGACACATTATTACAATTCTACCTTAGATTCCAGGGGAAAAAAAAATTGAGGGGGAATTGAACTACACCCTTGTTTTATAGATGGGGGCATAACTACACCCTTGTTACTGTAGTAGTCAAGAAACAGAAAGAATGTTCAACTGGTGATTGAGAGGAAAAGATTAATCCAATTTCTTTTTATAGTTGAATAAACTGTGGTCCAGGAGTTTAGGTGGCCATACAAGTTTAGGTTCACACTGTTACTGAATGGTTAATGTGGGGATTTGAGTTAGGTCTTCTGCCTTCCAGACTGCACGTTCCTTCTTCTGCAGCTTGTTCTTAGCACTATAAATAAACTAGTAAAATGATAAACACCACTTTGGGTGAGACTCCAGTGAGATGAGATGTGTGGTTTTTATAAAAAATTTTTATTGTAAGCAAAAGTTTGTACATAAGGTATTACTGTAGATTGTATATATTATTAGTTCTCTTAATCAGTGCCAATTTGCTTCTCATAACTTAATAATTCATCTGAGTTGAAAAATGCCTTAACAGAATTTCTTCTGTTGCATAATTGTTGTAGGTGTGGATATTGCTTATTGAGGGATTTCACAAGTATTTAAAGTTATTTCTTGTTGAAATAGCAGCATTAATGAGACTGAGGAACTCTGGAAGTCAGGAGATTTTAAATGCATTATTGACTATGCTGGTCGTAACTACTTGTGTGTCTATGGGCAATCACTTATCAGTATTTTAATTCGTAAAATGTAGAAGTTCGACTACAAATTCTAGTCATTAGGTGATTTCTGATGTTCTTCATAGCACCAAAATTCAATATTTGATAAATCTGTAGGATCCAGTAAGGAATTGCTTAGTCTTTTAAGTTCTGTGTAACTTATGTAAATGAAGTGTTTTAGGGAACCTGAAAGATTTTAAAATTTACACAAAATCAGCCTCATCCCTCTGTGCCCAAACTGTTCCTCAGAGTGACTGAGTTAAAATCTCTGCAGTATTTTATGAAAAGGTCTCACCAGTGATTCTGATATACACTGGTTAAGAACCACCAGGTTAGGGTTTGCTTTAGAGCCTAAAGGTCTGGACGAAGTTGAGAACCTTAGAACAATCTTTCACATTGTTCTGTGGAAACAATATTATAAAAGTTGAAGAGAGAGTATGGGCTAGTCCATAAAAGACAGCTTATTAACTCATAACATAGCTGAAATAATACTGTTAGTATAGTTGGTTAGTGCCCAGCCTTGTTAACACTAAGGTGAAGGGTTATGATACCTGTACCAGCCAGCCGCCAAAAAAAAAAAAACTTAAAGCCTTAAGACAAATATTAGAATTTTGTTATTTTAGGCTAATATCATTATAATATAAATAATCTATTATTTAGTATACATCTTAGTTTTAAAATGTTTGATAGCTCTTCAATAAAGTCATTGTTTGTTTTGTTTTTTAAACAGGAAAAGTCTTCTAACATACTTTCAGAGTTAGATGAAGAATTTGATAGTTTATACTCTATATTGGATGAGGTGAAAGAGAGTATGATTAACACTATCAAGCAGGAACAAGTCCGTAAATCACAGGAGTTAAAGGTGAGATCATAGAACTATCATAGAAATTTTAGTCTATTTAATGCTTGATTTATTGAAAACAAAAATAAGTGAATTTCTGAGTATGACTACCTTTACCTTGTAGAAGAATTGTTCTTAATTTTGTCTTGCCAAATATCTTTTTAAATTGCAGTAAAAAAATATAAAATTTACACTCAAACATTTTTAAGTATACAATTTAGTAGTGTTTAATATATTCACATTGTTGTGTAACAGATCTCTAGAACTTTTTCATCATATAAAACTGAAACTCTATACCCCTTGAACTACTCCTCTTCATTTCCTCCTCCTGCTAGCCCCTGTCAGTCGTCATACTATTTTCTGTTTCCATGATTTAGACTACTGTTGTTATCTTGTATGTGGAATTCTTTTGTCTTTTTTTGACTGTTTTATTTCATTCAGCCTAATGTCCTCAAGGTTCATTCATGTTGTAGCATGTGCCAGGATTTTCTCTGTTTTGTGTGTGTGGCTGAGTAATATTCCAATTATGTATATATCACGTTTTCTTTATCCATTCATCTGTCTATGGACATTTGGGCTGCTTCCACCTCTTGGGTATTGTGAATAATGTTGCAATGAATATGGCTAAGTAAATATCTCTTTGATATCCCTTTTTCGGTTCTTTTGGGTATATACCCAGAAGTAGAATTGCTAGATCATATAGTAATTCTCTTTTTAGTTTCTGAGGAACTGCCATACTGTTTTTCATAGCAGCTGCACCATTTTAAATTCCTACCAGTAGTGCACAAGAGTTCCAATTTCTCCATATCCTTGCCAACAATTATTTTCTGGTTTTTTTTTTTTTTTTTTTTTTTTTGGGGGGGGGGGGGGGGTTGATAGTGGCCATTATAATGGGTGCGAGGTAGTTTTTTATTATGGTTTTGATTTGCAATTCTAGTGATAGTCTCTAATGACTAGTGATACTGAGCATTTTTTCAAATGCCTGTAGTCATCTGTGTATTTTCTTTGGAGAAATGTCTATTCAGGTTGTTTGCCCATCTTTTATTTGGTTTACTTGTTTTTTGTTGTTGAGTTATAGGAGGAGTGCTTTATACATTTTGAATATTAACCCCTTGTCAGATATGTAATTTGCAGTTATTTTCTCTTGTTCTGTAGGTTGCCTTTTTTCATTTTTGGTTTTTTCCTTTAATATGGAGAAGTTTTTAAGTTTCATGTAGTCCCATTTGACTATTTTGTTTTTGTTCTCATATGCAAGAAATAATTGCCAAACAATATTATGAAGCTCTTCCACCTAGGAGTTTTAATAGTTTTAGGGCTTCCATTTAGTTCTTTATTTTTAGTTAATTTTTGCTTATAGTGTAAAGTAAGGGTTCTACTCTATTCTTTTGCATGTGGCTATTCAGTTTTCCCATCACCATTGGTTGAAGAGGCTGTCCTTTCCCCATTGTGTGGTCTTGGCACCATTGTTAAATATCATTTGATCATATATGTGAGGGTTTATTTCTGGCTTCTCTGTTCTATTCCATTGGGTCTATGTGTCTATCTGTATGCCATTACCATGCTGTTTTGATTACTGTAGCTTTGTAATATGTTTTGAAATCAGGACATGTTGAGGCCTTTAACTTTGTTCTTTTTCAAAATTGTTTTGACAATTCAGGGTCCCTTGAGATTCCATATGAATTTTAGAACTTTTTTCTATTTCTGCAAAAAAAAATCACTGGATTTTGATAGGGATTGCATTGAATTTGTAGATTGCTTTGGGCAGTATGGGCATCAGCAAGCAATGTTTTGTAGTTTACAGTGTATCGGGTTTTTTGCCTCCTTTAAATTTACTCTAAAGTATTTTATTCTTTTTGATGCTATTATAAATGAGTTTGTTTTCTTAATTTCCTTCTTAGATTGTTCGTCATTGGTATATAGAAATGCAGCTGATTTTTGTGTGTTGATTTTGATTATAGATATCTTTGAGAGTCTGAAAGCTATGGAGGAATACAGATGTTCTCTTTCTCTCTTAGACACACATTACACACACATAATTTCCAAGGATCAAATACCCTTTCAAATTTCCAAAAAATTCCAAGGTTGAGGTTTGTTGTTTATATTTGGGAGTGAGGTTTTTATTTCTTAAATCATTAAAAGATTATTTACTTAATCATAAGGTTTTTGTAGATTTCAATAAATAAGAAATTTATTAATTTAAAAAACAAATAACACTGGAGAAGAAAGGAAAACTGAGCTTCTTAAGATGTAACCCACAACTCATGCTGTGCAGATTTCTGTTCTTATGTCTGGAACCCAGATCCTTCTTCACAGCACCAGTTTGGAAGTCCTTTAAGCATCCATTTGCTTGATCTCCAACCTCCTTTTCTCCCTCCCCATACTTTTACTGTGCCAGAGCATCTCTAATTGTCTTCATTTACCACCAGACAACATTTCTGTCACCCTAGCCCATACCACATATTAAATATGCCACCAAAGTGGCCATAAGTCGTATTTTTTCCTCCTATTTTTCCCCACTTCCCATCAGATGACAAAAATCTCATGCATTTCTGCATCATCTTAATTTTATCAACCCTCTTTAACCATATCTGGGTAACTTATACTCCAATGCTCCTGATAGTATTTTCCTGTTCGCTTACCTCTAATTTCCAAATACCTGGTTGATGTCTGTTTTTTGTTGCAATCTTCTTTTGCTTAAATGTGTGTGCACAGTTTGTGTTTTTGGCACTGTTATAGAGGAACTAGAAGCAGCCAATAGACACATTTTTTAAAACATGAAATTCTCTAGATAAAAGTAAACTGTTGTCAGCATCCATCTTTAGAGGAGGAGCTTTGCCATTTAGGTTTAGAAAAATACTTCCTATTTGTCCCATATTTTTTGTGTATCTTATTATATTGCTAGCTTTTAATTAATGGCAGTTGACTAACTAGCTTTTCTTAGGTCTTTTTCTCTAGTCTCTGTTTCCTCAAAATTGATATACATTAGATAAGAATGTCTTATAATAATGACTTTAAAAAGCATTGTTAGGAATTGAACTCATAATTATTCTACTACATTGGACTTAAAAATATTTTTTTTATTTTACTTCTCAATATACATTGTAGTTGATTTTCATGCCCCTTTACCTTTTCTTCCCCCCCTCCCCACCCCATCATATCTGTTCACTTGACTTAAATAGTTCAAGGAAATTTTGTGGTTATTCTGTCTTCTCCCACCTCCTTTATTTGTTTGTGTGTTTATTTTTAGCTCACACAAATAAGTGAGAACATGTGGTATTTCTCTTTCTGTGCCTGACTTGTTTCGCTTGATATAATTTTCTCTAAGTCCATCCATGTTGTTGTGAATGGTAGTATTTCATCCTTTTTTATAGCAGAGTAGTATTCCATCGTGTAGATATACCACAGTTTCCTTATCGAGTCATCAGATGATGGACATTTGGGCTGGTTCCAACTCTTGGCTATTGTAAAGAGAGCTGCAGTAAACATTGGAGTACAGGTATTCCTTCGTCATGATAATTTCCATTCCTCTGGATATATTCCCAGCAGTGGAATAGCTGGGTCATATGGTGGATCTGTCTGTAATTGTTTAAGGAACCTCTATACCATTTTCCATAAAGGCTGTACCATTTTGCAGCCCCACTAACAGTGTATGAGAGTTCCGTTTTCTCCAAAACCTCTCCAGCACTTATCCTTTTCTGTCTTTTGGATGTCAGCCATCCTAACTGGAGTGAGATGGTATCTGGTCTTGATTTGCATTTCCCAGATGCTGAGTGAGGTTGAGCATTTTTTCATGTGTCTGTTGGCCATTCATATATCCTCCTTTGAGAAACGCTTATTCAGCTCCTTTGCCCATTTTTTAATTGGGTTGTTTTTTTCTTGTAAAGTTGTTTGAGTTCCTCGTATATTCTGGATATTAATCCTTTGTCAGATGTATATTTTGCAAATATGTTCTCCCACTCTGGTTGTCTTTTTACTCTGTTGATTGTTTCTTTTGCTGTGCAGAAGCTTTTTAGTTTGACATAATCCCATTTGTTTATTTTTCCTTTGGTTGCCTGTGCTTTGGGGTCCTTTTCATGAAGTCTGTACCACTCCTACTTCCTGGAGTGTTTCCCCTATGTTTTCTTTAAGGAGTTTTATTGTTTCAGGGTGTATATTTAATTCTTTAATCAATTTTGAGTTGATTTTGGTACATGGTGAAAGGTACTGGTCTAGTTTCATTCTCCTACATATGAGTATCCAGTATTCCCAGCAGCACTTGTTGAAAAGGCAGTCTCCTCTCCAGTATGTAGATTTGCTGTGTTTGCCAAAGATCAGATGGCTGTAGGCATATGGATTGATTTCTGGGTTCTCTGTTCTATTCCATTGATCTGTGTGTCTATTTTTATGCCAGTACCATGCTGTTTTGGTTATTTTAGCTTTGTCATATAGTTTAAAGTCAGGTAGTGTTATGCCTCCAGCTTTATTTTTTTTGCTCTGGATTGCTTTGGCTATGTGTGGTCTTTTGTTGATCCATATAAATGTTTGGATAGCTTTTTCCATTCTCAGAGGAAAATGTCATTGGAATTTTGATGAGGATTGCTTTGAATCTGTAGATCACTTTGTATAATATGGACATTTTCACAATGTTAATTCTTCTGATCCAAGAGCATGGGATATCTTTCCATATTCTTTAATTTCTCTCAACAATGGTTTGTAGTTCTCTTCGTAGTAATTTTTCCACATACTTGGTCAGCTTTATTCCTAAGTATTTTATTTTTTTGGTGGCTATTGTAAATGGGCTAACTTTCTTGATTTCTTTTTCTGCATGTTCACTGTTGGAGTATAGAAATGCTACTGATTTTTGTGTGTTGATTTTGTATCCCGCAACTTTGCTGAAATCATTTATCAACTCTAGGAGTTTTTTTTATAGAGGCTTTAGGCGGTTCAACATATAGGATCATATCATCCACTAACAGGGACAGTTTGACCTCATCCTTTCCAATCTGGATGCCTTTTATTTCCTTCTCTTCTTTGATTTCTCTGTCTAGTACTTCCACCACTGTGTTGAATAGGAGTGGTGAGCGTGGGCATCCTTGTCTAGTTCCTGTTTTTATGGGAAAAGCTTTCAACTTTTCCCTATTTAGGATGAAATTGGCAGTGAGTTTATCGTATATGGCTTTAATTATGTTGAGATACTTTCTGTCTATGCCTAACTTGTAGAGAGTCTTTATCATGAAAGAATGTTGAATTTTGTCAAATGCTTTTTCAGCGTCTATAGAGATGATCATGTAGTTTTTGTCTTTGCTTTTATTGATGTGGTGTATCACATTTATTGATTTGCATTTGTCGAACCAACCTTGCATCCCTGGGATGAATCCCACTTGATCATGGTGTATAATTTTGTGTATGTGTTGCTGTATTCTGTTAGCTAGTATTTTATTGAGGATTTTTGCATCTATATTCACAAAGGATATTGGCCACTAATTTTCTATTTTTGAAAACTATTTTGTCTGGCATCTTCGTCTGGTTTCAGTGTCAGGGTGATGTTTGCCTCATAGAATGAGTGGGAGAATGGCCTCTCTTTCAATCTTTTGGAATAGTTTGTAGAGAATTGGTATTAGTTCCTCTTTGAAGGTTTGGTAGAACTCTGCAGTGAACCCATCCAGTCATGGGCTTTTCTTTGTTGGGTGCCTTCTGATAACAGCTTCAATCTCTTTTATTGTTATTGGTCTGTTTAGATTTTCTATATCTTATTGGCTCTGTTTTGGTAGTTTGTATGCATCTAGAAATTTATCCATTTCCTTCAGATTTTCAAATTGGTTGGCATATAGTTATTTGTAGTAGTCTCTAATGATTCCTTGTATTTCTGAGGTACCAGTTGTAATACCACCTTTTTCATTTCTAATTTTTGTTTTTTGGGTCTTCTTTCTTCTCTTTTCTTAGTTAATCTTGCTAAAGGTTTGTTGATTTTATTTATCTTTTCAAAAAAAAAAAACTTTTTGTTTCATTGATCTTTTGTACTGTTTTTCGGGTTTCTATTTCATTTAATTCTGCTCTGATCTTAATTCTTTCTTTCTGTCTACTAACTTTAGGTTTGGATTGTTCTTGTTTTTCTAGATCTTTAAGATGAAGAGTTAGGTTGTTTATTTGCCATCTTTCCATTCTTCTGAAGTAAGTATTTAATGCAATAAATTTCCCCCTTAGTACTGCTTTTGCAGTATCCCACAGGTTTTGGTATGATGTGTCATTATTTTCATTAGTTTCAAGAAATTTTTTGATATCCTGTTTAATTTCTTCTTGGACCCATATGTCATTAAGTAGAATGTTGTTTAATTTCCATGTGTTTATATAGTTTCCAGAGTTTCATTTATTATTGATTTCTAATTTAAATCCATTGTGGTCTGAAAAAATACATGGAGTAATTCCAATTTTTTTGAATTTGTTGAGACTTGCTTTGTGACCTAACATGTGGTCTATCCTGGAGAATGTTCCATGTGCTGATGAGAAGAATGAATATTCTGAGGTTGTTGGATGGAATGTTCTGTAGTTATCTGCCAAGTCCAATTGGTCTAAAGTATTGTTTATATCTTGTGTTTCTCTATTGATTTTTTGCCTAGATGATCTGTCCAATGATGAGAGTGGGGTGTTTTCAGGTCCCCTGCTATTGTGGTGTTAGTGTCTGTCTCTTTCTTTAGATCTTTAAAAATTTTTAATTTTAAATTTAAAAATTTCTTTAGATTTTTAAAAATTGTTTTTATCATCTTCATCATGTATTGTTATGCTTGCCTTGAAGATAGTTTAGAGTTGTAAAGGGATTTGAAAAGCCTTGAAAACATTCTACATTGTAATGATTAGAATTCATATTTGAGAACCTAGCTTCATGTGTCTGTTAGCACAATTTTTAGGGTAAGTCAATGATAATATTTAATTACCATTGTCTCATTTTTATGCATTCATTCAGTGAAGTTTGATTAATTCAGTAAAAAAGGGGAACCTCTGGATTTTAGGTATAAAGTAGTGAAAAAAGCAACTCCTGCCCTCATGGAATTCACATTCTAATGGAAGGTAATTTGGAAGAAGTGCAAAAGAAAGGAAAATCAGATCCTTTTGCCAAAGAGATTAGAATTTATAAGAGTAAGCAAAAATGTATATAAGATAAATATCTGATTTAAGAATAACGTTGACAAAAGCACTGTACAGCTATACATAATACAAAGGGGTCATGAGTTAAGGAGCAGTTTTTTAGAAGCTGGTTTGAAGAGCTTTGAGGGATTAATGGCTTACTTAATAAAAGGAAGAGAGTCATTTGTTGAGATAATAAAAGATTAAAAGTCTATAGGAGTCTTATTTTGAAAGAAAGTCAGTGCTGATTTGGAGGAGAGCTCTAATAGAATTCATGTTATGGCATGTGGATTTTGATCTTCAAGAGTGTTGTCTTTTCTTAATTCAAGATGTTGAAGATTTTCAGAATTTGACACTCTCTACTTGTTGTGGATTTCTGGTTTAAAATATGTCTTTAAACGTCCAGAAGTAGTGTGATATTTCTTTTCACATCTGAACTTATTTTCTGACAGCCTTATATAGAGCTGGATATATGTGTGCGTGTGTAAAATCTACAATGTTGTTAATGCTTTTCTTAGAACAGGTTGCATATTGCTCTTGTAAGCTATTGAATTTATATTTTTTAGTTTGCTAAATCCTCAGCAATACATACATGGATCATATAAATTTATTTAAATTCTTTTTGTCATAGAGTCTTAGGTGAACCCTGTCCCCTTTGAGTTTTCTAGATCTTAATCACAGTAATGAAAGTAATGATTTTTTGCAACTGATCTGATTCATAGAAGTCTTCCATTAAAATTGTATTTAGACTATTTTTAAATGGGATGACTTTAAATTTTTGATTAAGTATTGCATCAAGTTTATTATTAGCTGTTGATTTTCAATGGGGAATTTAAAATGTGGCAGAAAATGGAAGTGGTGAAAGCAAGGATGTTAGTACTATCTTCTCTTCCTGTATCACCATTTCAGCACTACATTTTTTCCAGTGATTTCATTAGTTTTTTTTTTCTTCTTTTATCTTACACTTTATTATCCTGTGTGATTTTTAATATTTATCTCTCCTCAGTACCACAAAAATTTTAGCAATTTTTTTCATAGGAATGATGCTCTAGGGGAGATCAAAGGTTACTAAGGGGACAAATAGGTGGTTGTAAAATTAGACTGAATTATTTAAACATAAACTTAGCAAACATAACTGTTCATTCTTGAACATATTCTTGTGTTATGATTCAAAGGAAAAGCTGTGGTGATATCAGCCTAGTGGAAATTCAGCTGTAAAGCTTTCTTGGGATAGTTTAAAAAGCAGATGAAAAAAAGTATCATACATTGGCCCCTGATGCCGTTTCCTTCTTTAGTTGGAGGTATAGAGAAACTCTGTTCTTCCTTAAGGTTCATAAGGTTATTCATAATTCTTCTGAATAACTGGTAAATCAGTGCCCTTTAAATTGTATTCCTCTTCACCCCACCTCTTTTTGCTTTTTTCCTTGACTTCAAAGCAAAAATATATAGCATTTTCTTAGAATAAGATATTATTTAATCTCAAACTTTGACCTCAGATTGGACTCTTACTTTTAATAATCCCTTGAGATGTATTCCTTATTCTTGGTATTTTTGACTTTTAACACTACATTTACTTTGTCTTCCCCATTTATCTTATGTAGACCATTTGTAACTATTTTGTTTTCAGTGATTTTGCTTAAACCTTTCATAAAACTCATGTACAAATGGGATATTTGAAATGGTGGTTAATTTTTGTTTGGAACTCATAGTTACTCACAGGAAGAGCAGTATTTTTATGAAATTATGGTTTGGTTCTTACAATAATACATATAAAAACCTGTTTTAACCCAAAATATGACTGAACTAGTCTACTTTTCCAAAGTAAAATAATAGAACACATCAGAAACCAATAAAATGAGCAATGGCTTATCTTTAGTGCTGATCTTAAGGGAAAAATAAGTAGATTTGAATATGGAATAGATTATTAATAAATATTTTGAAGAAGAATCTTGGATATATTTAAAAGCTTAAATATGGATGTTTCTTTGTTTGAAGGTATCACTAACAGTCTTTTTATTTTACCTACAAATAATAGAGAGAACTGAATAAGAAAGATTGTGTTAAGTGGAATTAATATGTGAGCAATGAAGACAGAGCACATCATTGTAACAGTTGCTGTCTTTTGTTCCTCTTTTTTCCTTTTGAATTCTTGCATTGGTGGTTCTTGCGCTATCCAGTCTTGGAAACTATAAATTAACATTTGTATATTAGTGTGCATTACCTGAGTAGTGTGATAAATGAAGTACTAAGATTGTGCTTAACTGAACGTACCTGTAATTTGATTCACAAACTTTAACTTAAATGGTTAAATATCAGGAAATTTGGTCTTCATTACAGAGGGTGTTGCCTTTAGATAGATTAGATATTTTAGTTTAAATTATAGACAATTTTCTGACTACTCTGATTAAGAAGAATCTTTAAGTAAATTTGGCCCCAATTATTTATAATTGTTGTTTTGTTCTAAACTATCTTAATTCAAATAAGCTGTTTTAAATAAATTATGGAAAGAAGTACAAAGTATTAAAATAATTAAAATTTGTTATATATGACTGATCATGATTATGTTGCTTCAGTAGCTCTCTGAAATATTTTTGTTTAGTTATTGCTATTAAAAATATTTGTAAGTTCATTTTAACAATAACTATTTAAAGATTCTGATAGCAACAAGAAACTTCCTTTTAATGACTTAGTTTTTTTCCCGTAGAGTCAGCTTACTCAATGTAATAATGCTCTGGAGAACTCTGAAGAACTACTAGAATTTGCAACAAGGTCGTTAGATATAAAGGAACCTGAAGAATTTTCAAAGGTACAAAAAAACCAACCAAAAAAATTACAATAATACACTTAAAAAGGAAAATGGTGTTTTTTTTAAAAAAAAGTGTTTTTTAAAAATTTTCGATTTGTTTAGTCATTTCTAATATTAAAAGTCTTGGGTTTCTTGATAAGTAAAGTGCTAGCTATTATTCATTTATCCCAAAAAAGACACTTAGAAGTATGTAGCTTTGGGATCATGAACAAATTAATTTTGGCTTAAATTTTCTTTAGTACTCAATTCACATGAGTCAAGTTATTTTTTTTTCAGTTACACCCCTATTGGTAATTTGTTTTAAAAGGACTTGTGTACTTTAACTGAATCAGTACCTTTGTTACAACATTTTATGACTAAGGAAAGAATATTGATATTGCTATTAAAATGTTTAAATTAGTTTTCATTCTTGGAGTTGACTGAGAACACACTTGATGCATATGAGCACTGCAACCTTGTCAAATTTATTATTGGGGACAAATGTTCTACTCTTTAGCTTAAGTAATCATTTGAATGTTTTATTAAAATACAAAAATGTAGGTCCTTGTTGAAGGGGTATGTTTAGTATAAAAATACAAAGAATAGAGCAAGAAGCTTGGTAATGTTTTAACTTTAGACCCTGGTGTTTAAGAGATTGTGAATTCTAAATTGTAATTCTTATTTTAAGTAGGGTCATTTTTAAATGATTACCAGCTTATCAAATCAAAACTCAGGGATATAGAACATACAAAAAATTGTATGAAAAGAGTGGGAAATTAAGATATATAATTAGCAATATATTACTATATAGTTATCAAGGTAAGATTTGAGTTTGATGTTATTTACTTCATCTTTGTGGACTATGTAATAGCTTCATTAATGCTAGAAAGGTGGTTTTATAATCCACTTGTGTCCAGTTAATGCTTTCATTTTATGAGTTCTGTGAATTTGAATGCAGAAAAAACTTTTGAGCAGTTAACATTTGCCAGCTTACAACTTTGCATTTTAAAATTGAACTTTAGGGCCGGCCCAGTGGCGCACTGGAGAGTGCGCCCCTTGGGAGCGCGGCGGCGCTCCCGCCGAGGGTTCGGATCCCATGTGGAGACCGGTTCCCGCTCACTGGCTGAGCGCGGTGCGGGCGCGACACTGAGGGTTGCGATCCCGTTACCGGTCAGTAAAAAAAGACAAAAAGGAAAAAAAAAATTGAACTTTAATAATTGAATTCTTCAACAAAATGAATCAAACCAAAAATTCTTTTGATATAAACAAGTACACTAATTAATTCTTAAATTTGGAGGTGAGTTGTGTAGTTTACCTTTGCACTTGGGAGAACTTATTATACAAGAGGAATTATGAGGGAAATGTATCATACTGTAAAGTACTTTAAGAGTATGATATGTCGGGGCTGGCCCAGTGGCGCACTGCTATAGTGCGCCGCTTGGGAAGCGCGGTGGCGCTCCCGCCGAGGGTTCGGATCCCACATACAGACCGGCCGCTCACTGGCTGAGCGAGGGGCGGGAGCAACACCGAGGGTTGCGATCCCGTGGCCGGTCCCGGTCCGGTACGGGTGCGACACTGAGGGTTGCGATCCCGTTACCGGGCAGGAAAAAAAGACAAAAAAAAAAAAAAAAAAAAAAAAAAAAAAAAAAAAAAAAAGAGTATGATATGTCACCTATCCAGAGGGCAGTTTTATGATAACTTTAAGTATCTGGAACATAGCCAAGAAACATGCAGAAAGCAAAAGATTTCTGAGATATTAAAATCAGTGCCATGGAATTCATTTAGGAAGTAATATCCTCTATTCACAAGTTTCTCAGAATCTGTTGACTGTTAGTTTGTTCATAGTACTACAGGTTGAGCATCCCTAATCCAAAAATTTTAAAATATGAAATGTTGCAAAATTCAAAACTTTTTTTTTAGGGGGGGGGGCGACTAATCTGAACCCTTGACCTTGGTGATATAGGTGGCTCTCTAACCCACTGAGCTAACCAGTCAGCCCACAAAATTCCAAACTTTTTGATTGCTGACATTATGCTCAAAGGAAATGCTCGTTGGAGGATTTTGGATTTTCGGATTAGGGATGCTCAACTAATATATGTTCTGCATATATTCCAAAATTCAAAAAATCTCAATCTGAAACATTTCTGGTACCAATCATTTCAGATAGGGAATGCTCAACCAAATTTTTAAGTTTTTTGCTTTCTGTTCATTAGTTGTCTAAAGATTCCCTTTCTAATGGAGTAGGGCAGCTGTTAATGACAGGCATAATCATAGCAGGAAGAATTAACAACTGACAGCCTGAGAGTGAGGAAGAAGACAGGAAAACTATAAAATGTGGGCACAGATACTCAAAAATAACTTGAATTCAGTTGCATTTAAATAGGGGTTGGTGCTTGGAAAAAATGTGATAAAAGTTTGTTTCTTCCAAGTTTTTCTTTCTGTTGATGTTTTCAGAGATCTTCTCTTCCCTTCCTCTCAAATGGGACCCTTTTCTCTTTCTCTCTCCTTTGTTCTTTCCAGTTTTGTTTCTGTTAAAATTTGTTCATGACAGATTGTAACTTGGAAAGTTTCTGATAAAATAAGTCATTATGATTTAAGTATGTTTTCTTAATATACCACTTTGTTTCTTTTATCTTAATATTTTGGTCTTGTGTTCCAGCACTTTGTAGTACTACTTAGTAGCTTAAACCATTTGAAGATGTGGTGAAATGAATTATTTGTCAGTGTTTCCTATCCGGAAATCTGAGTTTATTGTTCAAGAAAAGTTCTTCACAGAGAGCTGCTTGTAATTATTTTCTTAGTATGTACTAGTCCACTTTCTGTTGCTTATAACAAATACCTGAAACTGGGTAATTTATAAGAAAACAAAATTTATTTCTTACAGTTTTGGAGACTGGGAAATTTGTGGTCCAGGGAGTGCATCTGATGAGGGCCTTCTTCTGTTCTGGGAATTCTCTACAGCGTCCTGTGGCAACACAGGCAATCACATGGCGAGAATGCCATGAGCAAGAGAGAGCTAAAGTACTCACTTGCTCTAGTTATAAGGCCATCAGAACCACTCCGTGATAACCCATTAAACCATTAACCCATCAATCCATGAATGGATTAATCTGTTCACAAGGGCACAGTCTTCATGATTCAGTCACCTCCTAAAGGTCCTACCTTTCAACACTTCCACATTGTAGATAAGTCTTTCACATGAGCTTTGGAGGGGCAGTTAACCTATATCATAGTATATCCAAATAGTATTCAGATAATGGTTTGATTCCAAGTCAGAAACTAGGTTCACTTTCCTAGCCAGCTGCATGGACTATAAGCCTTTTCAAACACCTAGTTGCTGACAGAATACGGACAGATGCCTTTGAAGACGAATTATTAGATTAGCAGTATATTGTTAGGTATCTTGGAAAAAAATTCTTTTAAGATATACTGTTTGTGAATATCTTATATTAAAGTGCTTAAATCAGATTAATATAAATAGCTCATAGGGACAAAAAATAACAGACTAAAATTTAGGCAGTGTTTCCTTTCATACTTCATTTTTTTCACAAAGAGTATTTTTAAGTATTAATATTTAAATTATCACATTGCAGTACCTCAGCATGAAAATTGAATATAGAACTAGACTATTATCATCATTATACAGTCTGAAAGTGAACAAGTAAAAATAGCACAAATAGAAAAGGTTTTTAGAACATACTTTCACCAATTTCTTTTTAAACTGCTGGAAGTTTGGTTGATAGTAAATATATGCAAAAAGATCACTAACAAATGGATTCTGGATCATTAGATCTATTCCTGGATGGACATGTAGGCAAAACTCCACCAAATCTGAGTTCTCTGCTAATAGCTGGCCTGTAGAACACTTCTTGGATCCTTTGTCAAAATTAATATTCCTATTGCTACCCTGAATTTAGACCTTGAATTCTCCCTATGAAAAAAGCTAGGTCAGTGGAACAGTTTCCAAGTCAATATAGCTAATTAACCACCTCATCATAATGATGCTGTGCATGATCCAGATGTCAGACTAGAATGGTTTCCCACGGTGCCTCGCAGCTATGGGATAAAAAAGGAATAAGTGGAATAAAAATACAGAGTAAGGTGAAAGGGGAACAGTGTCTTCTGCATTTGATCACAGATGAAAAGGGAGAATGGGTTTACTGTATTTTTCTCTTCTGACTCACAATAATTCACTAGTGGAATATTGTTCAGCGAGTGTAAGGCTCTGACCACTGGCAGGAATGAGTAAGGGGAAGGGCGGAAGCTCACTCAGTACTTTCAAGGGAGCGGAAGTATTGGCAGAAACTCCTTCCCTAGGCTGAAGTCAGGAATTCTGGGAGAGGAGAAGACCATCAACAAAAGCCTGAATGTTTCAGCTTTTTTTTTTTTTTTTCTTTTTGTCTTTTTTCGTGACCGGTAACGGGATCGCAACCCTCGGTGTCGCGCCCGCACTGCGCTCAGCCAGTGAGCGGATAGTCTCTATATGGGATCCGAACCCTCGGCGGGAGCACTGCCGCGCTCCCAAGCACTGCACTCTACTGAGTGCGCCACTGGGCCAGCCCTGAATGTTTCAGCTTTGAAGGCAATTTAAAAGCAAATGTAAATATTTGTTAAGCATAGCTTAAACTGTAATTTTCACTTTTATTTCAATTGTGGATGTTTATATTTTACAGAAATTCAGTCTCCTTTTATACTAAGTACTTACTCAAAGATCAGATGTATGCAGTACTGTATTTCAAAGTTTCTTTCAAGTTTCTTATTGTGGCTTTGTAACCAAAACTTTTAAATGATCGTGCTTTTTGAAAAACAGTTTTTTTGTGAACAGATAAATACTTGTATAAGTATAGAAAATACGAAACCTCTAATTTGGTTTTTTTCAAAGGCTGCTATTTTTGCCTAAAAAATAGCATTTTAAAGCCATCTCTTTTCCCTCTCTCTTTCTATAAAAAGAGAAAAATGACTATATTAAAGAGAAATATAGGAACAATAAGGTGCTTAATCTTCAAAGTGTGTGATAAATTCACAGGAGAAAATCATTTCTTTTTTTTTTTTTTGTCTTTTTCCGTGTCCGGCAACGGATCGCAACCCTCAGTGTCGCCCCCGTACCGGACCGGGACTAGCAACGGGATCGCAACCCTCGGTGTTGCTCCCGCGCCTCGCTCAGCCAGTGAGCGGGAACTGGTCTGTATGTGGGATCCAAACCCTCAGGCGGGAGCGCCACCGCGCTTCCCAAGCGGCGCACTATCCAGTGCGCCACCGGGCCGGCCCAGAAAATCATTTCTATATCCATTCATTGCAGATTAAAAACAAGAGAGAATGGGAAAAGATCTGGTTTTAACTTTTTTATATTTAATTGGCAATTATGAAGAACTATTTGATTACTCCTACATTGTTCTTTTATTATAATTCTGCTTAAGGAAGTTTGGTCTCAGGTGACAGATTCCTATGACTGATAAATTAAAGGATCAGACTTGTAAGATTTATTTTAAAAACAATGAACTGAGAGATGGAAGGAGGAAAAGGAGGGAAGAAGGGGGAAGGAGGAAGGAGCCATCTCTGATACAAATACAGAGAAATGAAATGTTGGCAAACAGGATTTCAGTAGAGGATCTAAATAATGATGCTGAACAGTAATATGACTAATACTTCTTGTAGGTTTTCTAATAATATACTGTATCATAACCTAAAAATAAATGTAGGTATTCACCACGGCTTCTTCATAATTCTCTAAGTGGAATTATGTAGTACACATAAATGTGTTGGTAACAGAGCAGTGGTAAATCCATGGATCAGTTGGTACGTATTAAACAGAGATTTTTAATTGACAAAATTCCCTACTCTTAAAATTGAAACTTAGAGAAATCAAGCTACATAGTAATATACATCTTTTGGGCACCTTTCTGCTTTGGGGGAAGAAATTCCAGAAAAAAAATTATCTTAGTTTTCTGTTTAAGGCATTACTTGAAATTGGGCCCTTTTAGAGAAATATATTCAGAATTCAAGACTCTACCCTCTTATTATTGCACAGAATAACTTCTTCAACCCCTCCTGCATTTACACAATGTAGATATAATAAAATTTGAACCTAAATGGAAGAGGAGCCATGGAGTTTTTAGTTTTACCACCTGGGTATAGTGTATTACATATAACTATGTGGGACAACAGTTTTTCCTAGGTTTTCTGGCTTTTCATATATTCCTTTTCTGGTTTTTTACAGTATGGTACATGAAGTGATACAATGAGTATTTTGCATGCGGGGGTACATGCGCACACACACACACTAAAAAATACCACCTTACAAAATTAAGACATTAGTAGACACAAAATTGAGTCATTATGGTTGGTTTAAAAAACAGTAATGGTCTTCATATCATTGGGGTATGAGAGGATTAAATGAGGGCAACTGGTAAGTAACATTCCTTTGACAAAGTTCAAAACTAATTAGGAAATAAGATAAAACAGTAAAAGCAATTAAGAGGTCAAATACTGATAAAAAGATATTGGAGAATATGGCTTATATTGATGGGCAAGCTTCCTAATACTGAATCCCAGAATTAGACAGACTTACCCACTCAGGTATGGTCAGCAGAGGCTACCTCTGTGTGTGGGGGACCTCTTTCAGTGAAACGTATGGCATAGTGGGAAAGAACAAAATATATGTTCTCTGGGGGCAAGCAAGCTGCCAGAAAAAGTAGAAAGTGCTGAGCTATCATTTCTAGTTTCTCCTTTCAAACTCATAATCGTTAAGTCGTATCACTTCCTTAGGAGAAATGAGGAAATAGAGAGGCTAAGGGAGTAATGCTAGTGGCACTTCCTCCGTATGTAAAGAAACATCAGGGGCAGAGAACACCCTCTCCTGTCCTCCCTTAAGACTTATATTAAGATCTTTGTTTCATAATTCTATCTATAATGGCAGCAATTTAAAAGAAATCAGTACAATTAGCTTTCTTATTTCTTATCCTTGGTACCAAAGTAGTTTCATGACTTAAGGCATATATGTATAGATGCCAGAGAATTGGGTTGTTTGCTGTAGAATGTGGACCTTGGAAAGGATTTTTAGAAACATTAAGGAACAAAATCTTGTAGTAAAGAAATTGAGTGATTATTATACAAGGTCACAGAATTGATTAATGGTAGTGCTGGAACTGTATAATATGCTGATCTCTTAAATTATGTTCTTTCATGTAGAAAGGTTCTCAGACCAGAATATTTTAGGGTGGGTGTAAATGAGCAGTAGAAAGTAGGAACAGTGTTAGAACTGAAGAAGACAGATCATTGAAATATTGCTATAAGTTTAATTAAGTTTAATAATTATTAAGTATTACTGTATGCCAAGCATTATGCTAGGCACTGGTGATAGTGCTGAGCAAAACAGCCATGTTTTACATCAGATGTGTTGTTAACTGTGCTGGTTAGTGTGGGGAAAAAAGTTTTGCTGGATATATTATATTGTATGTAGGTGTGAAGGGGACAACAGTCATTACATGCATTTTTTGTTTTTTTATGACTGTATAGCCCTAAGAAATAGCTGTGTCCCTGTCCTAAAGTTGTGCTTGCATTTTCCAAAAAAAAAAAAGATACATCTTATGTATAATAGGTTTAAGTTGGCAGCTTCTGTGAAATCATCTGATGGAATGACCCTATTGCTGGAAGTGTTTTTCTGGTCTCTCCTTGTCTGAATTTCTGCTATTCCAACTTCATTCTTTGGAGTAAAGGATTGTAGAACTGCAGCGTAGATTTATTTGTTAGCAGGCAAGCTCTCAGAATACAGAGTCCTTGCCCAATGAAAGCATGTGGAGAAAACTTGGAACAACCATTATAAAATAGTGAAAGAGATCTCTGAAGAAAAATTAGAAAGCAGATTTGAAATGTACAAGAAAACCATCAGAATACATAGAAATGTTTGTCCCATGAAGGAAGTTGATTATTCTAGTTGAAGAGTGTCTAAATGAAAGTGGAGGTGTGTTTTGATAATGTTAAGGTAAGAAAAACATTTAGAGTCATCTGGAATTGGTTTGAAGTGTTAAATTTTCCTCTTTTAAGGTAATATGGGGTCTGAATTTTTACTGTAGTTCTAACATCACATTATGTAAGCTTATGTGAACTATACAAATTTTCTGTAACTTAAGTTTTGGTGAATATGAACTAATCTATTGCAGGGTTTATATCCTAACTTTTCTTGCATGTCACTGCCATTGAAACTTGCATGAAAAGCACTAACTGCCTTCTTTCTCTTCTCCCTGATTTGTTCCAAGGCTGCCAGACAGATCAAGGATAGGTATGGTATAAAACCTACATTTTTATTTTAAGTATTAATATTGAAGTCAGAAATGAAATTCAGAAATACTTTTTTATTAGAATCTTTTTGGTTAAGATAAAAATGCCCAGTGGCCAATTACAGAATAAAATTATTTTCTATATCCTCTTGGAATAACCAATGTATCAGTAAGATTTTTTAAAACATAGTTGTGGACAATTATGTACTTCTAAAAGAATTTCATTTCTGGCATAATAATATAGTTAGTTTTTGTTTTAGAACAGTCCTTAATTAGTTATTCTTGTGGAGAAGGAAATATTTTGAACAATTTAAAAATATATATTCCTGGAATGCATTTTTTGTTGTTTTAAATTTAAATATAAGTAGTCTTATTTTCTGAGAAGTCATAGTATTTTAAATAGTCCTCGAGAGCTAAAGCTCTTTTACTTCACTGCCTTCCTATTTAACACTTTTTTATTCTCATTTCATCCTGTTCCTGGTGCCATCTCTTTCTATTTCTAATGCCACCACTATCTAGTTTATGTTCTATGGAAGAGAAAATTAAATTACTCAAGGGTTTGGCTTAAAAGGTATTTCTCATTGGTAGAGTTAAGATTAAGAAAGGGAATTTAAGTACCTTCTGTACTGAATGCATCACAGTGCTAAAGGAATTGCTGGCAACATTTGGGTTTTGTTTACACAGAAGGAATGGTTTTGGTCTGCCAGTCAAATCACTGAATTTTGTCTGTAGTGAAATTGTAACTTAAGGTTTTTTTCATCTTAGGATCATGAAATTTTCTGAAAGGCACAGTTCTTCAAACACCGCTCTGAATCCTAAAGTATTCTTCATCAGATAATTTACAGAAATATTCATTATGGATTGTGTGACAACCAGTGTCTCTGCTGTTAATCTTGGCTAAAAATTTCAATTCTGGGTTTCTCTCGTCATCTTTTATTTGTCTTAGAGGCAAGATTCACATGGTAGTTATAGAATTTTTAGCACAAGTATTAATTTTTATATTTTTTCTATATTTTATATCAGGCAGTGGTTAAAGATGGGTGGATCATTCTTTTAAATCTTGAATGTAGAATGAAGACTATGAGAGTTTGAAGGTGAAAAATATGGCTGTGTGAGCAATGGATGCTAGATAGGTCAGTTTTTTGGATAAGGTATATTTGGATTATAATCTGTTCAAATTTTTATGAGTAATCCATCTTCCACATTGGCTAGAGTATACTTTCTGTTTAGCTTCCTATTCCATTACATCCTGCTCTGGTTTCTGATTTTTTGGATTAGAAGTCACTTCCTAATCAGCTATGGGCTCTTCAAAGACCTTGTGAGAAACCTTGCAAAATCTTCACTCCTTCTGTTCAAAATTCTGTATGGCACTGTGCTTCCCACAATTCTGTCTTTACCACTGACCTCTCTCTCTTTGTCCAGATTTGTCAGAATTGAATTTTATGGCCAGCTTTTCATAGCTTTATTTTTCTGTGAGGCTTGACTTCTTTGCCTTCTCTTTTATGTCAGCCTTTTGGCTTGATTTTTATCTCCAGATGATCTCAGGAGTCAGGGTTTAGGCAGACTCTATTTTTGTTTTGTTTTGTTCAAAGCCTACACTTTTTTTTTTTTTTGTTTTTCCTGGTTACCGCAGCATTTTTACTCCCTGCCCTAAGGAACATTTCTGGGTCTTGGCTTAATTTTTTGTTGTATTGTTTTGGTTTTTGGTGGCTGGCCTGTACAGGAATCCAAACTCTTGAACTTGGTGTTATAATACTGCGTTCTAACCAACTGAGCTAACCAGCCAGCCCTTGGCTTAATTTTTTAAGCTCGATTTTTAGCTTCATAATGACGAGGTTTCTCTGTTGTAGTTTTAGTTGCTCTCCCAGGAAATAAGCTTCTAGAATTCAATCATTGCCATTTATAATATAAAAATAATTTAAACATATAGTCATGATAAAATTATTATTTTCACCAAGCGTAGAAAGGATTAATATAAGGGCAGAGATGGATTTTAAATGAGAGTTAACATATCTGAGCAGGGAATCAAATATAAAAAATGAAAGTTTTGAAAACTCAGTATTTATTATTTGCTCTGATAGAAGTTATGAAGAGGAACAGTAGGAGTGAAAGGGAAAACTAAAGACAAATGAGAAGATAATAGCACATTTCTAGAACTTTACAAATCACTGGTATATACTTCTGGGTTCTTATTAATATTGGAAGAGGTATATATAGTTGAGGTGTATTGGGAGAGTTATTGGTTCCTAAAAGAAGGGTCGTGAGGGAGAGTCAAGTTAATTAGGTAGTTGGAGGAAATTAAAAGTATTCATATGGGGCCGACCCCGTGGCGCACTCGGGAGAGTGCGGCACTGGGAGCGCAGTGGCGCTCCCGCCACGGGTTCGGATCCTATATAGGGATGGCTGGTGTGCTCACTGGCTGAGTGCGGTGCGGGCGACACCAAGCCAAGGGTTGCGATCCCCTTACCGGTCACAAAAAAGACAAAAAAAAAAAAAAAAAGTATTCATATGTTTTGTAGCTATTTTCTTTTTGCAAAAATAAAACTAGGAGGAAGGGATCCTTGAATTCATCTTGTCATACTATTAGTAATAAACCAAGAAAGTCAAGGTGAATTCAAACATACCTAACCACATGGATCCTGTAGTATAGTTTAGAGAATGGTCTATGAATTTTAGATTTTTTTGTTTGGATTTTGAGGCACAGTTGTCTAAATATATTGTTTAAAAATAAAAGTTCAGTCTTTTGAGAGAAGTTAACATTGTTGCACATTAACTTGATTCATCAAAACTTTTAAAATTTTCATTGACTAGAAAATGAGAGTTATTCTTGTTTTTTTCTAATGCACTTTTGGGAGACATTCTTTTTCATTGTGATCATAGTGATTAAATCAAGTTTTACAGATTTTACGGGTTTCAGATTTAAAATTCTCAAATACTTTCAGATATTTTTCCTCAACATTTCTTAACACACATGTAAATATTTGGCCAGGTTTAGAAGAAACCAAGTAGGTTCAAACCCATTCACTGATTCAATGAGCATTTATTAAGTACCTATCTGAATATAGCTCTTTCAGAAGTCTTCAAATCAAAAGATACTTGGGGCTGTAAAGAACAACATATGTAAGACTTAGCCTATGTTCCTACCTCCTTATTGATATAATTTGAAATTTTATTCTTTGAGAATTAACAGCTCAATGTGTAAAATACTCTGTGTTATATTTGGCATATAGTAAGAAATTCCGTAAGTGTGAGTTCTCTTCCCCATAAATGGTATTTAGTATAGCACTTTCTTCTTGATAAATAAATCAACTGTTGTTTACTGATTGTTACTAGTAAATGAGGTGATTACTTTCCTAGTTTTAAAACAAAATGAAATAACTGAATACAGCAACAATCTGACATCTTTCGTGTCAAAATAAGTGAATACATAAGTTTGACATCTTTTGTTCCATTGATCTCTAGGGCACATTTGCAGATCTGATTGATTAGGCTTGGTATTTCCTTTTTCCCTCCAGCTCTATTAACTTCCTCTCCGAATTGTGCTAGGAGAGCAAATTTGTGAATAGTATGTCTGTATCATTCTTTGACCAAAGATAGTAAGGGGCTTAATTGTGATACTTGTGAAAATTTATTGTAATATGAAAAAATGAAATTTGAGATAAAATTACAAATTAATAGAATAAGAGAGTTTCTTTTAATCATCAGCTTTAATTGACAACAGTTTCTGCATACTTTGGATAAAATGAGGTCTGGTATGGCTTCATTCTTTTTTTGTTTTCCACTCCACATTCATTTAATAATGTTTATTGAACTCCTGTTATTTCCATGGCATATATTTTCAAAGGGCTGTTTTTCATAGTATCCTTCCATGTAACTGATGTTAGATCTGAGTGACTCCTACTAGTATGGTATTCACTGGCTGTGATTTCACTTCTCTCCTTTCTCATCCATGACCTGTCCTTAGCAGCTACCAACCTATACAAAATTAGGTCAATCTATGGCTATTCTTATTTGAGGGTACATGGGGTAGCTCTAACTAGTAGATGTTTATGCAGTTCATTATTTGGCATATGAAAAGGAGTGAGGTTGGCATCAGGAAGTCAGTGAGACTAAATGTACAGAGTTTTAGGTGAATGTAAGGTCTGGTAAAGATTATTTATATTGGATATTTGTTTCTTGTGATATTTGCATATACAGTCATGTACCACATAATGACATTTAGGTCAATGATAGACCACATATACAGTGGTGGTCCCATAATATTATAATGGCTATACTATATAGCTTAGGTGTGTAGTAGGCTATACACCATCTAGGTTTGTGTAAATACACTCTACAATGTCCACACAATGATGAAATTGCCTAACAACACATTTCTCAGAACATATCCCTATTGTTAAGTGACACATGATTGTGTATGCAATTTTATAAAGCTGGCTGGAGGAAAGTTGCCAAAAGTTCTCCTGAATGTCCTTAAGTCAAAAGGCATTTGGCAGTTTTTTATTTAATTTTCAAAAGACTCTAAGAACAAAAGTCTGTTTACCTTTGTTATTGTCTCCAAAATCATTTAGAGTGAAATAATTTCTGTTTTTTTATTTTATAAATTAAATATAATTTGATACTTTTCATTCTTTTATTTTAAAATGTATGTATGTGTTTACCGTAGAGTCACAATGGCTTCAGCCTTTCGCCTTTCTTTGAAACCAAAGGTCAGTGACAACATGACTCATTTAATGGTGGATTTCTCTCAGGAAAGACGGATGCTGCAAATGTTGAAGTTTTTGCCAGGTAAGTACATGTATTATATGTAAAGTTTTGTATAAAAACTTTTCCCTGGAAGATTTTTCTGTAATGAACATTGGTAGATAAATATAAAGTAGTATAGTGTAATTTTAATTTCTTTGTTCAGCTGAGGAATAATTAAATTTGCTAGTTTTTTGTTTTTACAGAGTTATTTATTTTACTTGTAGTAAAAATTATAGTTTAGGAATTCCGTTAAGGGATATCATTTATTGCTAGTTTGGCAGAGAGAAGCAGTATAGCATGATGGTTACCAGTGGGTCTTGAGGCCAGACTTCTTAGATTTGAATCCTGCTGCTTAGTTGCTGTGTCATCTTGAACAAGTTACTTCACTTACCTCATTTTCTATGTCTTTAAAATGTGATGTTTTTCTTCTAGGGCTTTTATAAGGATTAAATGAATTGCTACCTCTAAAGCACTTGTAATAGTACCTGTCATATTGTTAAAACTCAGTGAATGTTAGCTGCTATCATTACTATAATTGTGGCTGTTGTTGACTCAGATGAAACTTTACTTCCATTAATAATATATTAATATTGGTTTATTAGAGTGTTAGTATGAGGATATTACACTAGCTAAAACCATTTGAAATTGAGTCGCAAATTATTACCCACATATGTGAAAGAGCCAGTTAAGGACCTTTTGGTTAGTGTTCTTTTTTTTTTTTAGCATTAATCAATGTTTTTAATTTGATAGCTAAATCTATTTGGACATGGTGATTTGGGGGATCGGTGACTCTCTTGAAAGTGAAGTGTTTTACTTTGTTGTTGTTGGAGTTTAGCTGTTTTTTCTCCGAATATATGGTTAGGGACTTTGAGATATGATTGGAAAGACAAGGTTAGTAGTTATACACTATAATGGAACCTAATATAATGTTACCACAAGTGAAGTATTAGCTTGTGTGATATAGATTAGAAGTTCTACAGGAATTTATAGAAGGAAAAGATGAGAGAAGGAACTTAGCCATCGAGAAAGAAAGTATACTTGTCATTGGGTATCTACCTACACATTGGCCTTGCAGAATTACCACTCGTATATTTTCATTCATGGAGCTTTACTTAAGAGTGAAACTGACATTAAAGGGGGATATAAACATTTTTTGGAGTTTTTATTTAGAATACCTGATAATTTTAAATGGTTTCGTCATTTTAGTTCGACACTTAGAATTTCATGGCAAGAGGCTGGATTTTATTTTAGTTCTGAAAATTTGAGGTAGTAGTATCAGAATTTCACCGATTACCAGTTAACGGAGGTTTTACTTTTTTTTTTTTTTTTCTACTTTTGCCAAGCTTTATTAATTAGAAGCAATTTACAGTTTCCACCAATACTCAAGGTTTGGGGATTACACAAAGGTGTGGATACTGGGGATGGGGGCACAATCAGAGGGGCCACTGTAGAATTTTGCCTTCTACACTGAGCGATTTAGAACTATGAAGAACATATGTTGTAGTTTTAATATTGAAAAGAGAAATCCTCATTATCGTGAAAATAACTGCATTGACTTTCATCTATATCGTTGTTTTTGGAGATTACTTCAGAGGGTACTCCCCTCCTCCATTCAATTTTTAATTTTTAAAAAATATACTTTCTAAATGAACCCTAGAATATACCTGTGCCCAAGCAACATAAATAATTTCCAGATATTCTTACATTCTTACATTGGTCTTAGACCAATGATAAAACAAAACATGTGGTTTAATTTATTGGTTCACATATACAGAGGCTGAAGTCAGGATAAAAGAGCAGTGATAAGAATTAGTTTACACCTGTGCTTCCTTACCTTTTCCATGCCGTGGTACATATAGCAAATAATAATATTTATAAGGCAGAGGTAAATAAATAGAGCTTCTCACTTGGAGGTGGCTAGTCTGGGTGCTTAGGCCATAATGAGGGCAGAAGAAATCATTATCTTGGTCACACTAGTAAATCTCTTACAATGTGGCTCCATTTTGGTTGGAAAGCTCTGGTTAACAAACTCAAGAAATGATGTGTGTGCAATGTAATTTGACAGATAGGAGTAAAAATTAAAATTCAGAGGCTATACATATTGAAATACAGGTGGTCTCTGACTTGACGATGGTTTGACTTATGATTTTTCAACTTTACAGTGGTGAGAAAGTGATATACATTCAGTAGGAACTGTACTTCATATTTTGAATTTTTATCTTTTCCTGGGCTAGCAATATGTAGTACAATACTTTCTTGTGATGCTGGGCAGGCAGTAAGCTGCAGCTCTCAGTCAGTGTACTGTATTCGATAAATTTCATGAAATATTCAACACTTTATTATAAAATAGGCTTGGTGTTAGATAATTTTGCTTCAACTGAAGGCTAATGTAAATGTTCTGAGCATGTTTAAGGTAGGCTGGACTGGGTAAGCTTTGATGTTAGGTAGGTTAGGTGTATTAAATGCATTTTCGACTTCCAACATTTTCAACTTACAATAGATTTATTTGGGACATAACCCCAATTTAAGTCAAGGAGCATCTATATATGGAAAGTTTCTGAAGGGACTCTTTAAAAAGATCCCATAACACTTTTTTAGTATTTTTTTTTTGTTTAAATTTTTATTTTGTCCATATACAATGTGGTTGATTATTGTGGCCCATTACCGAAACCTCCCTCCCTCTTCCCTCTCCTCCCTCCCACCCAACAATGTCCTTTCTGATTGCTTGTTGTATCAAATTCAAGGAATTGTAGTTGTTATATCTTCTTCCCCCTCCCCCCCCGGTTTTGTGTGTGTGTGTGTGTGTGTGTGTGTGTGTGTGTGTGTGAATTTATTTATTTATTTTAGCTCCCACCAATAAGTGAGAACATGTGGTATTTCTCTTTCTGTGCCTGACCCGTTTCACTTAATATAATTCTCTCTAGGTCCATCCATGTTGTTGCCAATGGCAGTATTTCATTCTTTTTTATAGCAGAG